TTTGGAAAATATAACTGAACTACAAAAATTGTTCTGAAATGTTTTAAACAATAACAGACATATTTATAAAAACATCAATAAACACATCTGAAGAGAATACATCAATAGGTCTACATTGTTTAGTAAGTTCCACTTTAGAATGGAACTGGTAGTCGTCAGGAATTTGCAAGTGATTATGACAGGGTGATTGAGTATGTGGGGGAGGTGGGTGACTATGACACGTTGACTGAGTGTTTGTGAGGGAGGTAATTTGACAGGATGACTGAGTGTGTGTCTGGAGGTGGAGGATGATGTGACAGGATGAAATAGTGTGTGGGGGAGTGAGTGACAGTGACAGATTACTGTATTTGTGTTGGTGGAGTGACTGTGACCGGGTGACTGTGTGTTGGGGGGAGGTGGTGACTGTGATGTGGTGACTGAGTTTGTGTGTGGGGGTGATGTGATGTGACATGGTCACTGAGTCCGTATCTCCTATAAACACCAGATCCCTTATGAATAAACACTGCACCACATACACACTATATATATAGTCAATATATTGTTAAACACAGATTTGAACACCAGTCAAGCCATGTGCTTTCCCACAGAAATATCAAATTTCCAGTGATGTTACTACTGCAAGGGATTGTGGGTTGGCATATGCAAATTCAACAAAGAATCACATTTGTGCCTTATTATTCCCGCATTGCAACTGTAGGAGGAGGTGGGGCATATGGAAATTAGCCACATGGTTTCAGTGTTCTGACAGAATTTCACATCAGGCATGATTCTACTATTCCATCCTGGGTCCATTCCTCATCTAATTATTTTTATTGTTTTGTTTTGTTTTGTTTTGTTTTATTGACCTACAAATAAATTGTTTTATACTCTACCTTCTGTGTATATCCTCTATATCTGAATTCGATACTGAAAGTAGGTTGATTTTTTTAAAATTCTGTTAACTTTTAAAATTAAGCCACTGGACAAACGGCTGTTCATGAGGGTAGCATAACAATATATTTTCCACATTGCATGAATTCTCACAAAAAACTGGCTATTGCTGCCAAAATCTATACTAGAAAAAGCAAGAATTACATGACATATTCACTCAGTTCCAGGAACAGATAAAAGCAGTGCAGACAGGGCTTGTAATTGCATGAATTGCTATGCTACCCACTGTCTGTTCCATTTTATAATTTTCTGACCTACTTTAGAATAAGTATACTTTCCTTTGTGGAAATAACAAAAATTGCACTACAATAATATTAAATTTGTATCAAAATCTGTATTTTCATTTGTTTTTCTTTTTTCTGGTAACAACTGAAATTAATGTTTACATATTAATTATACATTTGGCTTGGTAACATTACTAACATTATTGTACTATTAAATTTACCTTTTTAGCACACAGTCTTAATATTATCAAAAACATTAGAGAAAATGTTTTACCAGTAGCAGCAGGGCACTACTAGCTGCCACTACTTAAAGACTGCTGCTAAGTATCATTATGTATCCGGCACAGCACAGAATCACAGTTTAATAGATTGCTAAGGCTAATCACAGGGTGAAGAATGCATTCACAGCGTGAGCCTTTTTTTACAGGAAATGTTTTTGGTTCATGTGCATTACAAATTAAATAAAAAGTGAGCCAAAAAAAAAAATGCATTTTATCTGGCTGTTAATATCTCGTCCTGGCTTCTAGTTAAAGGAACATATCTGTATTCCTAACGCTACAGTCCTGATGCCCCTTATAATTCCCCCCTGCCACGACTTCCACCTAGCATTATGTTATCCCCCAGGATAACAAGCCAATCCAATGCTTCTCATAGAGGAGGATTGAGAATGTGGGCACATGCGCGTTGCTCACTGAGATGAGCCTATGATTTTGCCATAGATAATCATTGCATGCTGTTTATTGATGCCGGGAGCCAGAATATGATGTCATTCTAGCCCCAGCATCACTTCAGGGAGCAGAGAGCAGCCGCTTGAAGATTTGTGCCTTTACGTCTGTGTACATGGCTTGAATAGTCGTGATGTACGTCTCAGGGAATTTTAGGTGCTTTAGGACTTTAAACAGGTAGGTCCATCTCACACTGTTGAAAGCCTTTTCGGTGTCTAGGGATAGGATTAGTGTTGGTGTACGTGTGGTGGCCTGTTTCCACACGTACTATAGTGGGGATAGTCTCTCCTCTAGAATCTTTGCTAATATCTTGACGTCATGGTTGATCAGTGATATGGGCCTGTAGTGTTCAGGGTATGTAGTGTCCTTCCCTAGTTTTGGGAGTAAGACTATTTGAGCTGTGGACATTTTGGGGTCAGGGCGCCCTCCCCCATTAAGTACTTAAACCAGGTCATCATGTGTGGTACCAGTTCCTTTCTGTAAGTTTTGTAGTAGCCCCCCTCAAATCCATCCAGTCCAGGGGCTTTGTGTCCTTTTAGATTGGAGATGGCATGGTCGATCTCGTCAGCTGTGATCTCCCCTCCCAGGGTTGCTATTGCTGTCGGGTTCAGTTTTGGCAGGTCTATTTTGTTGAGGTGTGTGTGTATGGCCTCTATTGAGTCTGTTGTGTTGTCATAGAAACATAGAATGTAACGGCAGATAAAAACCATTTGGCCCATCTAATCTGCCCAAGGCCCATTGTGTCATTGTCCCGAGGGGTATGGTTTAAAAGGGATTTGTAGAAGTCGGTGAAAACTGTTGCTATTTCCGCTGGTGTTGTCTTGGTGTGGCCCCTGTGGTCTTTGATCGTAGTGATGTGCGTATGTCGGGGCCTTGGACGTAAGGTTCGAGCGAGTAATGTGTCCATTTTGTTGGCCTGTTCATAAAATGCCCTTTTAGACCATGCCATGGGCCCTAGCTGCGTCATCTAGAAGAGTATCCCTATGAGGCGTTTTATGGACTTCAATTTTTGGAGTCGTCTTGTGTTGTTGTTCAGTCTTGCGTAAGTCAGTCAGTAGGGCCTTTAGTTTTTTTTAGTTTTTTGTTTTTTTGCGGGTGGCTTCCTGTCAGGATTATGGTTTGATCCAGCACTTAGAATGGCCGGATTTAACTATTTAAGAATAGTCAAAAATAGGTCAGGGAACACAGAAAGGAACGCAGCGATGAGGAAAGCCAGGAGTCAGGATACCAGAATATAGAGAAGTCAATAAACAAAGCCAAAGTCAAAAACCAGGTAGAAAACTAGTAACAGGAACTCGGTCTCGGACAACCACAAGGGAAACCACGACAGGGCACTGAGCAGGATGAGAACTGGGCCTAAATACCCCTCCTTTAGTTCTGATAGGCTGTAACCGGCCTTTGACCCCAAAGTCAGTTACCAGGTTTCATTTGCATAATTGCTGCTCAGAATTAACCTTTCTGTGGATTACGTTGCTGCTCAGCACAACTTTTCCTGTGTGGACAGTAAATGTCATTAACCACATTTTTATAAGCGGATGAATACGTGACACTTCCCTAATGAGTGCCCCTCTGATTACTGTCTTATGTGCGGCCCATATAGTCGCAGGTGTTAGGTCTGAGGTGGTATTAAGGTGAAAAAACTCTTCTATTTCTTTGTGGACGATTTCCTTTATAAGTGGGTTTTTGTAGTAAATAAGTATTTAATTTCCAGGACCACATCTGAGATAATCAATCTTTAAGATCTCTGCTAAACCAATGCTTTCCTATAGGAGAGCATTGGGAGGATATTGTGCATGTTTTTTATATGTAACATTCAGTACCTCCATGCAGAGCAGGAAGACACTGAACAAAGGTGCTGTACACTGTGCAGCACTGACAGAGGACTCTCTAGTGGCATCTGAGTGACTGTCACTATAGGTGTTACTAGGCAGCAATGTAAACACTGCCTTTTCTCTGAAAAGGCAGTGTTTACATTGAAAAGGCTACAGGGACAGCAAGCTGTAGTGGTTCTGGTGATTATAGTGTCCCTTTAAGAATTGCATATTTCTCTTAGATTAAACTTTGCCAGTTTAAAAAAACAAAAAAAACAAAAAACTGGCTCCTAACTTTTTTGTCAAGTCCTGGTTTTGAGAATCAGCACCCATCTAGCCACAAGAGCTTTAGAGAGATGGCACTTATCTTTGATGATTTGCCAAAACTAGTAATTGGTGTTTGTTCCAAACACATTAGACATTCACACGCAAAACCTACAGCAAAAATGGAGATGGACATTTTATTGTTTTAACACTAGTAAATTGCTTTGACGGATGAAATATATTTTTGCAGAATATATATTTTATCTAAGTTAATAAATGGGTGAGAAATCCTACTGTCAAAAGATGAGAAATCGAGTTTTACTGGACGTCTGTCTTGCATAGTTGTGGCCATAAATGCACTCTCATCACTATAGATCAATTTTCTACCATAGTTTGAATTACTTGAACTATAAGATCACAAATTACTACTTTTAAAGAATTAAAGAAATGCTTCATATATAAATATAAAGAAATCGGAAATACATTTCATATGTTTAAGTTTCTAAGTAGATTTGAGAGCAGCCAATTCAAGAGGCTAATACCCATATACATTAGGTGTAAAAACATTATCACCTATATTTACTAATGAGTGTAAGGGTTTAAATTGGCATTATAGAAAAAATATGCCAGTATTGATATCCATTAACAGGTACTAACTCCAATTAGTAAAGTGATCCATTCAGAGTGCAAGTGTTTTATAGTAAACCCATACATTAAATACATGGGACCAGGGACACATTAAAAAGGCGTGGTTAGCATGGACATCTTCTTTGCTGTTATGGAAGCAAATTAGTAAATTAAATAAATGGCAGAGGAGACTGAGCATCTCCTTGGCCTTAGGGACTCAAATTAAGTAAAGAGCTCAGAAGAATGCAGAAGAATGGCATTTTTTTTTAAAGAGGCGGGGGGGCAGAGAGCACCACTTCGCAAGTAGAGTGGGGTATATATTTACCAACTGGAAGCCGAGCCAGTGGAACTCACATGAAAATAGAAGGAAAAAAAATCATAGTGCAAAAGCTTTAATTAACAATAAAAAAGATATGGATAAAATGGAACACTCACAAATGTAGTGGCACAATTGAAAAAAAATGAAGATTTTTTCAATTGTGCCACTACATTTGTGAGTGTTCCATTTTATCCATGTATTTTTTATTGTTAATTAAAGCTTTTGCACTATGTTTTTTTTTTCCTTCTATTTTCATGTGAGTTCCACTGGCTCAGCTTCCAGTTGGTAAATATATACCCCACTCTGCTTGTGAAGTGGCACCCTACGAGGTATTTTCACTTTGTTGTTATACAGTTTTTCTTTGCACTGTTTATTAGCACTAGTGAAATAGATCCACTGGCAGAGCTTAGTTATGCACAGACGCCATCCTGTAGTATGTGATAGCACGCATCATGTATCTTTACACTGCATAGTGAATCAACATGTATGGTGTAAAATGTTTATACTTAGTAAGATAAAAAACTCACAAGTTATTTGCAATTTTACTCCAGAGACATTAAAATAATTAAAAAACATGGAGTAGTATGCAACCAATGGACATGTGTTCAATACATGCTTTAAGACAATATTACATTTTAAACAATTACTTTACTTGTGGCTTCCTACATCAGTTATGTTATAAGTGACGTGATTAATAATGATTAAATAATCAGGCTTTTGTGTCCAAAACCACAACACAATTGAAAATTGTAGTGCCTCAGTGAAATCAATGCGTATGCATGAGACAGTATTCCAGGAGAGATTGATACAACATGAAATAATAATGAACTAAAGAATAATCCATGTATATGTATTGATCTGAAAGTTTAGAATACCATTGTATCTTTAAAGATATTACAAATATTACAGATTTCCACTGTAATGGTAGAACCTTGGCATATAACTGCTATGAAGTGATTTATTACTCAATAGAATATAAAGTACTCACATCTGATTATCTAAATCACAACAGAATTAGAAATAGCAATGCCCAGGCGGAAGTTAGGAACCACATGCTCAGTTATAATAAAATCTCACCCTTGTACTTGTGATAACGACATATCCTACTTTTTAGGTGTACTGGGTATCCATTTTTGCCTCTTTCACTGCTCCTCAGTGAATCCCCCACTTAACTTAAAGGGACACTATAGTCACCAGAACAACTACAGCTTATTGAATTTGTTCTCGTGAGTAGAATCATTACCTTCAGGCTTTTTGCTGTAAACACTGTATTTTCAGAGAAAATGCAGTGTTTACATTAAGCCTAGTGATAACTTCACTGGCCACTCCTCAGATAGCTGTTGGAGAGATCTTTCCTGGGTCATGGCTGACTGAAATGCTTCCAAACATTCAGTATCTCCTCCCTCTCGTTGATTCAATTCATCTCTATGAGGAGATGCTGATTGGCCAGGGCTGTGTTTGAATTATGCTGGCTCTGCCCCTGATCTGCCTCCTTGTCAGTCTCTGCCAATCCTATGGGGAAGCATTGTGATTGGATCAGGCTACCCCTTCTGATGATGTCAGCAGACAGCTTGTTTTTCTGAGGCAAACAGCATGCAGATCTACAGCTTCAGGCTTGAATACAGTAAGATTTTTCCATATTTAGAGGTCCAGGGGGGCTAGATGGTGGTTTTAACATTATAGGGTCAGAAATACATGTTTGTGTTCCTGACCCAATAGTGATCCTTTAATTGTTTGTTGTTTTTAATCCCATCAGCAACTGCTCAATGTTGCTAACTATCAACTATCTTATTTCTGGGAAAATGTATAATAGTACTTTTCTTTCTTTTTTTTTTTTTTATTTGCTACACAAAGCCATGCGCCATCTCATTATATTTCAACAATCATAACTTACACACATCCCCTGCAAATGTACATGGAATTTGTATAGTGTCTGTGAAGTCACAAGTAAATACAGAATGTGAACACAGTATATTTTATATAAATAAATGTAGAGGGTGCACTCAAAGGTCTTCATAGGTATAAATGGTTTAATGTTATTCAAGCAAAATGACAACAATGTGGATGATCGACGTTTTGCCCCTACAGGCCTTTTTTAAAATCATGAAAAAGACCCGTAGGGTTGAAATGTCGATCGTGCACATTTTTTAAATTTTGTTGATATAACATTAAACCACTTATAACTAAGAAGAACTTTGAGTGCACCCTCTACATTTATTTGTTTATATTTTTGCAGGTTAGCACCTAGGCTTCATTATTTTGTTGTTTTGTGTCAGGAGAGTGCCATGCTTATATTCAATATATGTAAATGTGCGTTTGTACACAAAAGTACATAGATTTCTGTTTAAGTCATACATATACAAACCTAGGCACACACACACACATGTATGAAGGCTTGGTATACTCACACACTCATATATGCATAGCCAACCATACACAGAAACACACATATATTTCAGTATATACACACATAAGCAATTACATAATTTGATGCACATACATGCAAAACATCCTCTTAGACACACAAACTTGGGCAGATAACTACTTATTTAAAGACACACCATACAAATGTAAACATTGTCTATCAATTATAAAAGATGCCAGTGTATTTTTATCTGACTCAGTGTAGTGACTACAATGAGATGGTACTAGAGTAAATGAACTGGGTGTTCAGTGGGCAACAATCTTAACTCCATAGAAGCTTCCTGACAGGGTAATATATAAGTAAATAAAATTAATTAATAAAAATATATACAGATCCCAACACATCCATAAATATTCTGCCTTAAACCAAAATCTGGTCAGCCTACTCATAAATACAATGTTGGTAGTTCTTTGTTAAAAATACATGAATATAGATGCCTTAGTTGCCTTGTTCACTGAATGATTTGGTTGGGGAATAGAGAAATTGAACATGGGTGTGAGCCCTCTGGTTGCAGAGTGCTTCAGGAACCCTAAGGCTACACCACTCCCTGTTAAATCAATTGGAAGAATCTGGATTCATGCAGTATTTATCAAAAGTCAGACAATCTAATTTTCCAGAGTGAAACTTAATTTACACAGGATGAAGATATTATCTGTCAAATTTAATACTTCAACAGTGCTATATATATTACATTCTACAAAATAATTAAATAATAACTAAAATACATATAAAATTTTGCAGTATAAATCTTGTAGTTCACATTTATGGATTGCAAAAGTTTTGGGAAGTGATTTACAGAGTGAGAAATTAATAACATCTTTGTCATCTCTGTTCCAGACTGCATATGTGGTCTCTCTTTCTTATCTATTTCAAGTACATTAACTGTTAGAAAGTCATTACATGTGTGTTCTTATAAGGAAGGTGATTGAAGTCAGAGATATAAGTTAATTATAAAAATAAGGGGGTTTCAAGTGACATTAATATGAGCTATAAAAATTGTCATGTGGATAATGAGATGTTGTTTGAATGTGACAGAATGAACAACCAAAAATGTTTTTAGCATTCAGAGTGCTTTTCAGGAACTTGAAAAATGTAAAAGAGTGTCAACACATATGACATGGAATCTCATACATTATAATAAAAGAGCTGTACATGCTTATATTATTTACTCAGTATTATTATTTTTGAACAGTACTGGCATATATGTCAACACTAAACAATATATAGAAACATAGAATGAGATGGCAGATAAGAACCATTTGGCCCATCTAGTCTGCCCAGATTTTAAAATACTTTTAATTAGTCCATGGCCTTATCTTAAGGCCTTATGCCTATCCCACACATGCTTAAACTCCCTCACTATGTTAACCTCTACCACTTCAGCTGGAAGGCTATTCCACGTGTCCACTACCCTCTCTGTAAAGTAATACTTCCTGAAATTATTTGTAAACCTTTGCCCCTCTAATTTACGACTATGTCCTCTTGTTGTAGTAGTTTTTCTTCTTTTAAATATAGTCTCCTCCTTTACTATGTTGATTCCCTTTATGTATTTAAATGTTTCTATCATATCCCCCCTGTCTCATCTTGCCTCCAAGCTATACATGTTATGATCCTTTAACCTTTCCTGATAAGTTTTATCCTGCAATACGTGAACCAGTTTAGTAGCCCTTCTCTGAACCCTCTCTAAGGTATCAATATCCTTCTGAAGATACGGTCTCCAGTACTGCGTACAATTCTCCAAGTCAGGGCTCAGCAGTGTTCTGTACAATGGCATGAGCACTTCCCTCTTTCTACTGCTAATACCTCTCCCTATACAACCAATCATTCTGCTAGCATTTCCTGCTGCTCTATTACATTACCTTTAAGTCATCTGAAAAAATTACTCCTAAATCCCTTTCCTCAGATGTTGAGGTTAGTAGGGTATCAGATATTTTAAACTCTGCCCTTGGGTTTTTACGTCCAAGATGCATTATCTTGCACTTATCCATTAAATGTCCGTTGCCATAGCTCTGAACATTTTTCTAATTTACCAAAATCATTTGCCATTTGCCTTATCCCTCCTGGAACATCAACCCTGTTGCAAATTTTAGTATCATCAGCAAAAAAACATACTTTACCATCAAGACCTTCTGCAATATCACTAGTAAAAATATTGAAGAGAATAGGTGCAAGTACAGATCTGTGAGGTACCCCACGGGTAACTAGACCTTGCTTCGAATATACTCCATTGTCTACAACCCTCTGTTGCCTGTCATTCAGCTACTGCCTTACCCATTCAACAATACTGGAATCTAAACTTAAAGATTGCAGTTTATTGATGTGCCTTCTATGTGGAACAGTGTCAAAAGTCTTACTGAAATCTAGGTAAGCAATGTCTACTGCACCACCCTGATCTATTATTTTAGTTACCAAATCAAAAGAACCCATGTTGTCTCTGATCTAGAAATCCATGTGATTTTAGATGTTCAACAATTATGTTCTTTAACATGATTTCCATCAATTTCCCCACTACTGAAGTAAGGCTTACTGGCCTGTAGTTGCCTGACTCCTCCCTACTACCTTTCTTGTGAATGGGTACATTTGCTAATTTCCAATCTTCTGGGAATACTCCAGTTAATAATGATTGGTTAAATAAACTTGTAAATGGTTTTGCTAGTACACCACTAAGTTATTTTAATAACTTTGGGTGTATCCCATCAGGCCCCATCAACTTATTTGTCTTTAATCTTGACAGTTGAAATAGAATCTCTTCCTTTGTAAACTCA